GGCGGGGCGGGGGTCGGGAGGATGTGAATTCCGAGCGCTCGGTCCCAGGTGTGGCGAGCAGGAGCCGCTCTCGAATGCGGATTTCCAAGATCCAGAATTTCTACAGTTCCAGAATTTCTCAAGGCACCACTGAGAACGGGGCCCTGCAGGGCTCGGCGTTTAGAATATTCCCAGCTCACGAACGGATGTCTCTTGCCCACCTTCCATTTGCACGGCTTTTGATACAAGTAAAAAGTTGGGGCTGAAAGCAAATTGAACAAAACGAATTTAAATGAACAGTATCATGAAGGACCTACGAAATCATCTCTACTCCCTTTTGCCCGTATGAGGTTTTAAACAACTGACTGTTGGTTTCCTTAGGGTACCAAGAAAGCTTGGAAGTTTTGTCACAGTTTACCTTGTGGCCCTGTTGATGTGACCACTTTAAGACTGCCAGTGTTGGAAAGGCTTGTGTTGACATGAGAGGCCCACGAGTGTCAGGCGACCTAAGGAGGTTAGACACAAAGAGGCAACGTTCACAGTAATAATAGTGGGAAATGGTGGGTCAGCCTTACACAGCCTCAAGGTGGGACTGAGGGAGTCCGCCTGTTGATCTCGATCGGCGACACTGCAGAGTCTCGCCCCAAAATATTTCAGTTGCTGTGCTGGAAAATTACATCTTTAGAAGAGATACTGATTCCTTTGGGGCTGATGAGCCTCTATTAAAATGCAAATTCCTCTTGAAGGGGCAGTAGCTCAAGCCTTTATCAACCAACACCTTAGTGGGGATGGGATTTATTTTCCAATTTAAAGGGATGGCCCAAGGATGAACAGGGGTGGGAATTCCACAGATGAAGTGGCTGATCTCAGAACGCTGGCCTGTGGCCAAAGCTACTCCTCCTGCAGTTCTTACCTGTAACAGGACTGAGCCTCTGACTGGCATGGTTCTGAGCACTGGAATACAAATTCAAATTTCCTGGAGACATTCTCTATCTAGAAATGTGCAGGCCAGCACTTTTTAAGGGCTTGGAATTATACCAAACAAGATCCTGGACTGCCAGGAAGTTAGGTTCTCACTGTAGTCAACTCACTCATTCATTCATTTATTCATTCCTCCAACAAAAGATCACAAAGGGCCCTCTAAGCACTGGGCCCCCTTTTAGGCTGTCAGAGAACATGGGTGAACAGAACAGCCAACCTCCTGCCTTCCCAGGGGCAAGGTGAGAAACAGATAACAAGCATAACAAATAAGTAAGTTACACAGAGTTTATTGACATTGTGTAGTATTTTTAAAAATATGTTAAACACCCACCGTGTACCAGACACTGAGGGTGTAAGGATGAGCAGAAGCAGACCAGCTTCCTGTACTCAGGACCTTTCAGTGTAGTGGGGAGACCAGCAGGATATGGATAATTGCTTCAAGGCCAATTGCAAATGGGTTCAGTGTTACGGAGAATTCTACACGGTGCCAAAAAACAGATGATAAGGAGCTTTGGAAAGAGCTTTCTGACCACAGTATAGAAAATGGATTAAGGGATGCCCAAGGGAATGTAGAGAGATGAGATGCTGTTGCTGTCATGTAGGCAAGAGGTGACAGTGTTTTGGATTAAGGTGGAGAATTGGATGGATTTGAGAGCTGTATGGCAGGTGTCAGTGGTGAATTAAACATGGACTAAAAATATAGGGGGCCGCCAGTTGACACACCACGGGAAGAGTCACCAAGTGTTGGAAACCTCCAGTGAACTCCCATTTACGTATTAGATGTGCTTCCAAAATATATGTGAATCAATTCCTTCTATTTATAAATGACATGGAAAAAGCTCCAGGCAGCGCAGCAGGGGATTTTGGTGTAGGTGGGTTAGGATAGGGATCTACCTCCTTGGTGAAATTTGATTTGGGGGCTGAGGGAGAGACTGATGTAGAAATTTAAATTACTTTGCTCTTTTAAAAATCAATTCTGTATTTTAGAAAATCTTAAAATTCTGTCGTATTAAATGCAATAAATAATTAAGGTGAGTCAGTTTCCTAGAAGTGAATCATAAAGAAAGGAAGGAGGGAGGGGGGAAAGGGGAGGAGAAAAGTAGGGAGGGTAGGAGCTGGCAACTCCTTGGCCCTCTTTGCTCCTCAGTGCTTTTCTCTTGTGAAAGGTTGTAGTAATACATGTCCTAGTGTTATGGGAGACCCCTGGAACCACCTTATAGCAACTTTTTCTTCTCCCTAAATCAGATTAGACTAATAGACCACTGTTCTTTTTTTTTTAATTTTATTGAAATATAGTTGATTTACAATGTTGTGTTAATTTTTGCTGTACAGCAAAGTGACTCAGTTATATATATATATATATTCTTTTTCATATTCTTTTCCATTATTGTTTATCACAGGATATTGAATATAGTTCCCTGTGCTATATAGTGGGACCTTGTTATTTATCCATTATATATTTATATATTATTTATATGTTATATATATATATATGTTATTTATCCATATAATAGTTTGCATCTGCTAATCCCAAACTCCCAATTCATCCCTCCCCCACCCCCCTTCCCCTTGGCAACCACAAGTCTGTTCTCTATGTCTGTGAGTCTGTTTCTGTTTCATAGATGTGTTGATTTGTGTGGTATTTTAGATTCCACGTGTAAGTGATATTACATGGTATTTTTCTCTTCCTGACATACTTCTCTTAGTATGATAATCTCTAGGTCCATCCATGTTGCTGCAAATGGCATTATTTTATCCTTTTTAATGGCTGAGTAATATTCCATCATATATACACACACACACACACACACACACACACACACACACACACACACATATGTGTATATATATACACACCACATCTTCTTTGTCCATTCATCTGTCAATGGACATTTAGGTTGTTTCCATGTCTTGGCTATTGTAAACAGTGCTGCTATGAACATCGGGGTGCACATATCTTTTCGAATTGTAGTTTTGTCTGGGTGTTTGCCCAGGAGTGGGATTACAGGATCATATGGTAGCTCTCTTTTTAGTTTTTTGAGGAACCTCCATACCGTTTTCCATAGTGGCACCCACCAACAGTGTAGGAGGGCTCCCTTTTCTCCACACCCTCTCCAGCATTTATTATTTGTAGACTTTTTTTTTTTTTTGCGGTACGCAGGCCTCTCACTGTTGTGGCCTCTCCCGCTGCGGAGCAACAGACTCCAGACGTGCAGGCTCAGCAGCCATGGCTCACGGGTGCAGCCGCTCCACGGCATGTGGGATCTTCCCGGACCGGGGCATGAACCCGTGTCCCCCGCATCAGCAGGCGGACTCTCAACCACTGCACCACCAGGGAAGCCCTATTTGTAGACTTTTTAATGATGGCCATTCTGTCCAGTGTGAGGTGGTGCCTCATTGTAGTTTTGATTTGTATTTCTCCAATAATTAATGATGATTAGTGGGGAGCATCTTTTCATGTGCCTGTTGGCCATCTGTATGTCCTCTTTGGAGAAATGTCTATTTAAGTCTTCTGCCCATTTGTCGATTGGGTTGTTTGGTTTTTTACTATTGAATTGCATGAGCTGTTTGTATATTTTGGAAATTAAGCCCTTATCGGTCATATCATTTGCAAATATTTTCTCCCAGTCTGTAGGTTGTCTCTTTACTTTGTTTATGGTTTCCTTTGCTCTGCAAAAGCTTATAAGTTTGACTGGATCCCATTTGTTTATTTTTGCTTTTATTTCTATTGCCTTGGGAGACTGACCTAAGAAAACATTTATGTCAGTGACTGTTTTGCCTATGTTCTCTTCTAGGAGTTTTCTGGTATCTTGTCTTATGTTTAAATCTTTAAACCATTTTGAGTTTATTTTTGTGTACAGTGTAGGGGAGCATTCTAACTTCATTGATTTACATGCAGCTGTCCAACTTTCCCAGCACCACTTGCTAAAGAGACTGTCTTTTCCCCATTGTATATTCTTGCCTCCTTTGTCGAAGATAAATTGTCCATAGGTGTGTGGGTTTATTTCTGGGCTCTCTTTTCTGTTCCATTGATCCATATTTCTGTTTTTGTGCCAATACCATGCTGTTTTGATTACTGAGCTTTGTAGTATTGTGAGACCGTTGTTCTTAAGCAAAGAAGGTGGCTGAGCTTTTTGTGAAAGGCAAGCCTCACGCCTTCTTGCACCAAGGGGAGTTAAGTAATTCTAATGCCTCCCTTACAGGCCCCTTGTTCCAGATTCCTGCTCTTTTCAACATATGCCTCTCCATAAATGGATGAGAAATGAACTTGTCCCTTTGCGTCTCCTATAAGACAGAAGAAATTTGTACTTGGGTCTCACAATCCCTACCTCTGGAAAAGTAATAATCAGCAGAGAACTCCTCTTCCAGGAACAGCAGGCTAGTGAATTCTCCTG